GTTGACAGATCAGAGACTTCTCCCTCCAGCCAATTGTCAGCTTGTTAAAATTCGGCAGTGCTCCTCAGTGTTGAACAGAGTTGGAAGGAATTGCTGACAGTCATCCCAAGTGGGCACTGGATGATACCATCTGACCAGGGTAGGCAGTACGGGCAGCTATAAAGCAGAAGGGTCAGGGATGGCAGGGAAGACCTGGCTGACAGAACATAGGCAATCACTGAATGGACTCTCAGAGCTGGGGGTGTAGAGGCAGGCTGGTGTGGTATTAGATGAACTGGGGATCGGGGGCAGAGTTGGGAGCTAATGAGTCTGAAAGAGTAGAAAGACTAGTGGATGGGGGCTGGGGATTTAGCTCAGCGGCAAAAGCGCCTGCCTGGCAAGCGCAAGGTCGTGAGTTCGGTTCCCGGTACCGGAGAAAAACAAAAACAAAACAAAACAAAAAAGAAAGACTAGTGGATGAAACTGGTTCACCTGGGCTGCAGGTGGCGGGACTGGCCCATAGGGTGGTGACGCTGTGAACTAGAGGAGTCTTCAGGGAGGATGGCCTTTCTCTTGTTAGGTCCTGTAGGTGAAGTACTGGGAACCTCTTTGTTAGCAGGCACACGAGACTTCATCAGAAGGATGCTGTGTGGTTGGCCTAATATGCAAGACTGGCATCAAGGTGAGAGACTGAGAGCCAAATTTAGCCAGGAATTGATGTAGGGAAATTGGTCCAGTCCGCCTTTGGGCCCTGCCTCTGTCACTGCCTCCCAGAGGCGGTGGATTGTCTTTAATTCAATGTCCCTTCAGGGGGCCAAGTTGACTAAGTTTTGGCCAACTGATCTCACAGAAGGCATGAAGCTGATCTGGTTTCATTTTAACTCCATAAAGCCAGCAAAGCCCTTTTAAAAATTCTTTAAGGTACATTCCAAAATTGTAGGCTTTGACTCATTAAGTCCCATCCCTACTTCCCTACGTGTATGTGGTGTTCCCTCGTTCAGAGATGCAAGAGACAGACAAAGGGGGTGCCCTCTTTGATAGAGGACCAGTCTGAGGCTTGCCTGGCCACATCCCGCTCAAGGATGAAGGTCTGTCTTAGCAACAGGCACACCCATATTTTCCCAGGACAGCTCAGTGACCCTTATCACAGAGTTTGAACCACCAGTGAAACAATGACAGACCATGGAACCACCGAACAAGCCCACTCAAACTCTAGCTGAGAGCCGTGGAGCTACAGAGCCGACCATCTGAAGCAGCTGGATTCATGAGGGATGTTGTCCATTTACTCACATGTTCCTTCAGAGTAAACATTCTACCCAGAAAACAGAAACTGACTAGGAGGCAGTCAGACTTCTCTTCCATCCTGAATCTGGGATGGGCGGACTACCAGAGAACAGAAAAATCCAGGATGGCCTTACCGTGATTCAGATTCGTTCTCCTTTAGAGCTGGTAATGGAGGGGTATGTGTCCCAGTCAGTGTCCCAGAGGCTGCGGAGGGGACCTCAGAAGTCACAGGGGCATGCCTCCCATCTGAGTGCTGCTGGGACACGGAGGGGGGCATGCGGAGGGGGAGGACCTGTCTCCATGACCCACAATAAGGGCCATGCAGGGCTGTAGCTGTCTCTTCTCGTTTCCTGGCCCAACACACCAGAAACTATTACAGGAAAAACGGAATCAACAGCAGCCAGGAGCTCAGGAGAAGAAAGGAAATTTTATTAACACTAGTAGACCCCAGAGGAGTCATCTCCAAAGTCTGAGGTGAGGTTTACAGAAAATTTGTCTGTTTATACATTGGCGAACAGAAGTTACAAGAACGAGATAACCTTTTGTTGAAGGCCAGGGTACAATGGGTATTTTGTGATGTAAGCAACAAAGTTGTTTTTAGCATATTCACAGAAGTGTCAATCTGATAACAAATCATATAGTTTAGTGAGTTCAGCGACAAGAGAACAGAATGGCTGCAGCTTTATTTAACAAAATGGCTACAGTTAGGTCAGGATTTCTGCTTCATAAGCATAAATAAATAAATGTTCCTGAAGTCCTATATGTTATCTTTAAAATATGTGCAATTTTATATCCTATGTACAGTATGCCTATAATTTTAAAAATAATTATGAATTGCTTAAAAATTCAAAATCCTTTACAAAGATGAACACAATGTTTTTATACTTAAAATTAGAGGAAGCTACACCGTGTGTGTGCTGTTTCTCCCTGAGATTGGAATGGGTAGGTCCGCCTCAGTGTGAAAATTATGGATATAAATCATCGAAAGGAATTAAGAGGTGATGAGTTAACAGTTTTCCAGGATGACTTTCAACTTGACAGGACACATCTGAGTCCATAGTTTTCCTTTGTGTTAAGCAGCCTTAGGGCCTTAACTATGGGCTACGTGGCTGAAATGTACTATCTCTGGCTCACTGCATCAGGGCTGGTTCCTGAGCCAGATGTTGCTACCATACACTAGGTGCATATGAGCTGGTTTCTCATGGAGAATGCTGCCCAGAGTGATGCTGTATACTAGAAACTAATGGAATCATGTAGACTCCAAAAGGGGAGTTCTATACATCAAATACAGTGGTCCCTGGGGTTACGACCAGCCTGAAATTTACAACCAGTGTCTTGAGTGCTGGGTGTTTGTGCTTCCAGATGGTCTCAGATACAGATTGAACCCTTAAAGAGTTCTGGAAGGAACATTACAACATCCTTTCCTATATGGTCTTAACTGAGAAATCCTGGGCCAGTGTCTCTCCAAGGACACTGAGATCAGCCTGTGTACAGCAGAGAGACTTTGAAGGCTGTGTGGAAGAGCCTGAAACCTCAATTGAGAACTGGAGTCACAACAGCCCCAGGGAACGGACTGAGTTCATAAATCAAGGGTCCACTGTATATAGAAGAGTGACACAGAACATGAAAATTTATGGAATGAGGGCAATGCTATAAAAGCACCAAAAAATGTGGTGGTAGAGAAGATTACTAGCAGGGAATAGTAGAACCAGTAGGGACAAAAGGAAAAAAAGTCTGGGTCACACTAAGGCCAAACTGGAGAGAAGCCAAACCTCTCTTTCCCTGTGTAAAATCTCCCCAGCTCTAGGCAAGCACCTCCTCCATCTACCTCTTTCTCAGGAATGTTTACTTGCTCTCTCAAGGAGGTTTTCTAACTGATGAGGGAGACACATCAAGCAGTTCTCTCTTGGGAATCTCCTGCCTTAAAGGGACAGTGCTGGGTACCAACATCAATAAAACTAACAAATGGGGTTATAAACAGACTTCCTAGCATCCTAACATCCTGAGATGCACAAGACGTGGTTTTTTTCCAGGCTAAGATAGGGTTAGCTGCTGGGATCACTAACTGCCTTTGTTTCACTTCTGTATCTGTACTCACTTGTATCACAAATTGTATAAAAGGGAATTCTCCTTGGTTCAGGGCCCAGCCACATTTTGAGCATATCTAGTGGCTGATTCATGCACTAATAAAGTCCTCCTGTAATCCCTCCTGGTCTCTCCAGTTTGTTGGAAATCTGTAACATTTTCTGGCGACCACCGACAAGCTTGCTGCTTCCTTTTGCCCGTGGGCTGGGACTCTGAACTGGGCAAGACCCGCTTCTGGCACGAAGTTTAGCTCTCACAGGGAACTAGGTCTCCCATAGCTGGGAGCTTCCCCTCCCGCACCAGGACAGCTGGAACCTAGACAGGGTGGTAGAGAGGGTTAGGACAACTCGGGAATAGCATGCTATCCTGTTAGGGAAGAAGGGGAGTCTGATCACCTCCTAGGGAATACCTAGTAACCTGACCCAGACTAAAATCAGACTGTATCTCCCATCACTCCCAAGCAGAAGTGGCCTGCGATGGGAAATGGTTTGTAGTTGGTTGTGCTCTGGACATGGGAGTGACCCCTGTGAGAGAGGCTTATGGTTAGATCCAGACCGAGTCAGATGAAACCTTCCACCTGATCTGGAATGCAGGTGAGGCTCATGGCCAGAGTTGCTCTCTAACAACTCTAGGGACAGGCGCATAATGAAAGCAGCTAGCAAAGAGCTGTACTGAGTATGCAGACCTGGAGGGAATCTAAACAAACCTATACCCTGAATAGGAGACACAGGAGTGGCCAGCAGGGAAGAGAAAGACTCACAAAGCAGGAGAGACCTATAGGCAGGGATTATTGGAATTGCAGGACTGGCCCATGCAGGGAGGCTGTGGATCTTGCACCTGGAGAAAACAACTGGGAAAGGGGAGGTGTGAGAACATGTGTGTGAGCAGAATGAAGGATATGAGTCTGAAGGGTGCAAAGAAAACACATAATTGTGTGTGAGTGAGCAAAGTGAAATGTGAGTCTAAGGTCCCCTGGACTCAGGTGGGGACCCAGACTAAAAGATGCCTGAGCAGCCAGCTGGTCTAGCTGCTGGGCTGGAAGGAAAGCCTGAGGCTGACAGAATCAGGACCAGTGGTGGCTCCCGAGGTGGGAGGGATGAAGCAGGGGTCATCTTTCCATTTCAAAGTGAGCAGGAAGGTTGCAAGCAAAGGGGCAGCTCCAACCTGTGGCTGAGTAGGCAAAGTCCTGTAGGGCCTACGGAGGTTTACAGGAAAAATCAAATTACAAGTCTTACCTGTTAAACATACTTTTATTTTTTTGCAATTAGTTGATTAACTAGGGTGTTTAAAGCATTTCTTATATATTGCAAGTTCTTGAATTGCAATTATAGGGTTAGCTTATAGGGCACTTTATCTCAAGTATTTTCTGTGAGGCCTGCTGAAAATATTTTCTATACTCTCTAAGTGGCTATAATCTGCCTGAGATATTACTTAAAAGTTAAACCAACCATAGAACATTGGTCTAAATGTTGCCAGAAGCACAACCAAAAGAAATAACTGTGGTAGCAACCTATTTAACAAGATTTTCCATGTATTCAGATACAAGTACACACTGCCAAAATGCTTCCAGTTAAGGTTCTGACTCAAAACTTTGTACGTCCTTTATACAAGATAAAAATAGGAGAAAATAAGTTTGTCATTTAAGTACTTACCCAATTCTAAAGCTGCTATTAGTGCCAAAGCAACAAGGGCTTCGTTCTGCATTATTACATGTTCACTAGTTGCCATGGTGACTAGATGCTTGATGCCACCACTCTGTACAATGGCTTTAATTACATCCTACAATAAATAAATATCATGGAATTATACAATTTAATTCTAAACATAAAGGAACTGCATTATAATCAGCCAATTCATTGTTAGGTTGAGTGGTTTTGTGAATGTCTGGTATGAACCATTTCATCTTAACCATAAAATTTTTCTTCACAAAAGGAAAAAAGCTTTTTGCTTTAAATAAATTCATCAAAAGATGTCAACTTACACTGAGTGAGTGAAAAAGATCATTGAACTTCATGTGGGATAAGAGAGAGGACTAGGAGCTACCAAACTCAAAGATACAAAAGCACCACTGCCCTCATGTTGCCCTCCCCCAGGATCCACAAGAGAAGACTTGCAATTTAAAAAATAGTTCTAAAATTTTTATGATAGTGCCAGATCCTCTGGATACAGTTTTTATAAATACTTTTGGAAAAAGTACCTTTTGCCCCTGATTCACTCTGACAAATATGGCAACTGGACTGCATGCTGAAGGACTGAGCAGAACTTTCACCCAAATCCTTTCTTCCCCCTTTCTCATGGCGGCCAAACTGGTTCACAGCAGGGGGACAGCACATAGGGCTTCTGACTCCCACCTGTAACACCGGCTTTGCGCCAACAACACAGCAAGCTACTACGCACTCCGTGATTCCACCTGTGCCACTGGATGATGTGTCTGACTGATAAAAGTTGTTACACAGAAAGCATACATAGCAATATACGGAGAAAGTTAGATGGAAAAAAAATCACTTATTTCTAGGAACCATTCTGTTTTCATTCCTTTGAGGGCTGTGTTGACATAGAATTCAGATTAAATATGATTTAGAGGAACTCTCGAATTTAGAAAACTTTAAAGGTAATATCTTTTGCTAATTTTTGCTACTTTTAGTGATCTGAAGTAAGCTCTAGATATTTTAAAAAGTATCCTGTTCAAGTTAGCTTCAAAAGTGTATTATAAATATTTTTCAAATTAAGTAGATAAATATTTGAAAAAAGGTTTCTTTCATGCTTCCATTTATGCATATTATAAGAACTACTGACAGAAAATCTCTGCTTGGCACCCACACTTGTTTAGTGACCAGAAGTTGAAACTGGTGGAGTTTCAGGGCTGAGTTGTACAGGAGCTGAACTCTGGCACTCAGGCTTTTCCCGCTAGCCTTTCCTAGAAAAGTGAGAGACAGCCTTTTAACTCTTTTCTAACCTTCCAATTTACTGCTTTCTTGGTGAAAGTTTATTTCCATCATAACTCTTAAAATGAGGAAGTATTTGATAAAAAAACACAAAATGTCCTACTAGTAAAGAGCACAAGACATTATGGATGCACCGTTAAGTCCTTGTACCTTCCACTGACCCTGAAAGTCCACTGGAGTAGAGACCGGGGCATGGATAAAGGAAGTCTGACATCAGAAATGAACAGTCCCTCCCTTAAATCGAAATAAAGCTTCTTTTTCAGTGCTCTTCCCAAAACATATCTGAATATTTCCTTTGCCACTTCCAGGACAAAATGCCTGTCCTCTCCATCTATTTCAATAAATGTTTATTGGTATTTTATGTTTCTATTTCTCAAGGAGTTCTCTTATTGAAAACTGAGTTTTGGTATACAGAAAACTAAAGCAAATGACCTATGCTAACAATTTCATCTATTTAGCATATATGGTCAACTTGTCCCCGATTACTGAAACAAACAGTTCAAGACTTTGTTAAAAGCTATATACAAGACGTGGATCACAACAGAATGTTCTGAAATAGGACTGGATTGGAGAGCAATGAATTAAGATGGCAGGCTGCCACAACCACTGAGTCACCTAATTTTTTTTTCCTTCATTGTATTATCGAAGTTTTCTCAGTATGGGATTTAAGTAAATGTTTCTTGGATGAATGAGCAAAAAAAAAAAAAAAGAAAAGTACAAACTTTATAGGCAGGAGACTTTACAGTCCTAGCCTAAAGGAAAACATTTAATTCCCTGGTTTTGACATCTGCAGTTGCGAACGTCCGGTCAGCTAGCCCAGGACACTTTCTCAAGGGAAGCTGTGAATTTACCTACTGGCATAGAACAGGAATATTCTGCATGTGGCTTAGATGACTAAGTGTAAAACCTTGTGAGTCAGTGCAGACTTTTGAACAGCTGAACTTTACAAGAGAATTTAGTGATTTTTAAAGGAATGTGATCTTCAAAGTTTAAGAATTAAATATGGGTGGCACAAACACAGCTGCAGTCCTGTAAGCTACAACCCTGCAAGCTGTGGGTTCCCTGTTCCATGAGGGGCTGGTACATGACAGCTCAAAGACTTGTCACTCATGGAAGTGCCATCAGGGTAGGGGTGCAGTAGCAGCCACCACAGAAACAACCCAAGGAGTCCAAAGTGCAGAACTTCAAGTTCAATTAGAGAAGTAGAACACAGAACCTGGAGTATCAATGCTGAAACAAAGAATCTCTGAAACTCTTAGAGATGTTCATAACTCTTAAGGATCTTCTTGAGCTGAGATCTCAGGACACTGCATACTCGTAGTACCACAGGGTTGGAAGCACATCCCCCTAGACGTGGTTTTCCAGAAAAGGAGAAGGCCCAGTAAAGCTGCCAAGTGAGGTACCTACCCTCACAAGCCCCTCACAAACACTACATCAAACATTGGTACACCCACCCTTTAACAGAAGGAACAAATGAGGACATGGAGAGAGATGGACTAGAAAGGACTGTTGCTTTCACTCAATATCTGTAGTACAGCTGCTACGACAGGCAGTGACTTAAATAATATTTATAGGTACTATAGTGAAGTGGAAAGAAAGCCTATGATACAATGGGACACTATGACGGGTGTGACCGTATGGCCTTCCTCATTCAGTATTTTGCAGACCACATTCTGAAAGAAACACACCATTTTCCACTTGGGAAGAGAAGCAAGGCAGTCTATTTCTGCTGCCAATGTCTGTGCTCAGCAGAAACGACTCCTACCCTTAAGTGGTGCCACTGCTGAGTCTTAGAAAGGATGGTTACTTCAACTACTCTGTCAGTCTACATCGGTCCAATGACCTGGATGTGCCCGTAAACCAATGAGATTAGCAAAGGGCTTTGTGAGAGAGGGAAGAACAAAATTTACCAGTGATTTCACGGACATGCTGTATGAAGTGCTGTCAAGTACTCTCAGGTGTTAGCCAATGACTGTGGAGTTTAAAGCATCAAAACTGTAGAGTCTCTTAATGGAAATCCACTTGCATTCACGCAACCAATTAAATAAGCTGTGCTCCAAGCAGTTGACTCTGAGTTGTCCATCTGTGTAAATCCTGTCTGCGAGGACACTGAACCCTTCTTAAACTACCAGCTGTAATTCCCATCCAAGGACCTTGCACTCAAAGTCCAGATATCTCTGACATGGAGGAGTGTAATACTTACTGATTGTTATTGTTTGTGTCTGGATGTATCCCACACCCCATGCAAGCCTCATGCAGTTTTAAATGGGCCTTTTTCGGAGGTTGCTGAACTTAGTATGTGTGCAATACAGAGATTAAGGGTGGGTGATTGCTGGATCAGTCCAGTGAGTGGACTGGCACCACCTTAGTCCCAGAAGCCTGGATAGAGTATAAAAGGGGCAGAAGACACTTCTAACTGCTAAGAGTCAGTTGTTGATTTTGCTGTCTTCCACTGCCATGAACTATTGCCCTTCTGCTATGTACCACCCTGACTTGGAGCCAGCCAATTATAGACTGAAAACTCTACAAACTGCTTACTAAATAAACCTTTTCCCTAATATCTTCAGGTGTAAGGTATTTTATCTAAACAAGGACAAAAAAGTAACTAAAACATTGACCAAGGAAGGAAGTCACACATTAAGTAGGTGCGCACCTTTAGGAACAGAGATAAAGCAGTCCTAGACATCCCATATAGTCAAAGTGAGCTACTTTCACTTCAAAACATACTGCAAAGCTACAGTAAACCAAACAGCATGATACTGACATGAAAAACCAGGTAAATAGGCTAGTGAAACAGAACAGAGTACCTAGAAGTAATCCCATCCATTTACAGCCACCAATTCTTGACAAGAATGTCCAAAAAACATACTGTAAAGGAGAAGTCTCTTCAATCAATGGTGCTGGAAGAACTGGCTATTCACATGCCAAAGAATGAAACTTGACTCCCATCTCTTACCCTATAGCAGTGAAGGTGGACCTTCTAGTGCTTTCATTAATAACAGCCCTCTGCAGCATGTATGCCATAGCTTAGCCAGCACTGCCCTAAACCAACTCAAAAGGGATCAAAGACAAAAAAATTGTGAAGCTATTGGAAGAAAATACAGGGGAAACACTTCAATTAAAAATGACTAAAGAATATGAATACATATTTCTCTACAGAAGAAATTCAAATGGGCATCAAATTTATGAAAATATGCTCCACTTCATTACCAATGGAAATGCATGTTGAAACTACAATGAAAGATCATTTTACTCCAGTCAGAATGGTTATTAAATAACAAATGCTAGTAGTGATGTGGAGAAAAGGGAACTCTTACACACTACTACTGGGAGTGTAAATTAGTATAGCCATTATGGAGAACAATTTGGTAGTTGCTAAAGAAACTAGAAGTAGGTCTACCAGGAGGCCTCAATGCACACACATACAAAGACAATGATATCAGTACATCAGACATACACTTACCTTATGTGACCAGGTTTGTTCCTGTACTATTTACAATAGTTAACATAGGGAACCAACTTAGATAGTCATTAGTGAATCAATGGATAAAGAAAACATGATATGTATTCAAAATGGAATATTATTTAGCAATAAAAAGAATGATATATTATCACATGCAGCAAAATGGATGGAAGTGAAGGTCAATATGTTAAATAAGTTAGAGAAAGGCAAATACCACTTGGTCTCTCTCATAGTTAACTTAAAGGCCAATGAGACTATATATTAGTGATTATTAGAAGCTGGGAAGAGTTGGCGGGTAGGTAGGAGGAACAGCAGGAAACTGGGTAACAAGGTACCCAAACAGAATTAGAAATACTAAATTCTAGTGTTCAATAGCACAGCAGGGGCCTCACAATAGTCAGTTATACATTTAATGAATAAGTAGAAGGAAGAGCTAGGAGGTTTCAAACAAAAACATGAGGAAAAGGAAACATCAACTACCTGATTTTATCTATATGTGTACTGAAATATCTCCCTTATTCCATAAATACATAGTTATTAGGTTAATTGAAATTACATAAATGTTAGCTACCCTAACTTTATCATTACAGCGTATACGTGTATCAAATTATTGAACTTTACTTCATAAAATGTGTACAACTAAAATAAACAAATTTGCAATCTACAGGGTCACACTGTTACTGAGGAGTAGTGCAAGGGTTCAAGCTGGTGCTTTCTCCGAGCCACAGTATACAGAAAACATCTGGCCAAGTGGTGGCCTGAGAAGAGAGCTTCTTCCAGGGGGAGGCTGGCACTGAAGGACAGGGCAGGTCCCAGTAGGACAGGCACCATGCAACCTGGCACTGAGAACTATGGGGCTCTGTCGGAGACACAGCACTTTCCTGTTGCCATACGTGCATGACAATTTGGAATAAGATCTTTAAAATAACTTCCAGTCTCTCTGTATAGGATTGCACCTTTGACTTGAGATCCATCCCCAGTCATGGAATTAAAGATGATTAAATTCTTACATTACTTTGGTTGGTTAATGCCCCGAAGGACCAATAATCACACCCTGCATAACTGAAAGGGGATGGCAGAAATGGGAGGCTTTGGAAAGTTGCTGGTCTTAAAATCGTTCCTAATCTCAGATAAGAAATATTTGTGTGCTGACAACAAACCAAAAGTGTATGAAGAAATACAAGTAGAGAGCTGTGATTCCCAACAGCTGGTTAAAGATAGAAATGTAACAAATCTGTACCTAGTGTTTAATTATTTTAAAATGTTATTGCAGAATAGCATTTTCCAAAGTACACTACAGTATTAGATGCTACTTGTAAAACAATCCTTTGTCAAATATTCTGGAAACTAGCAGATCATATAAAGTTAAGGAGTTCCTCTAGAATATTACTGTGTCCCGTGAACCCCAAAGGTAAGAGAAAGGGAGGGACTATTTCTGTAGTCAACTTGACCATACAACCATTTTTGCTTTTGGAACATTATTTTGCGATTACTATTTGATGGAACACATTTTCAGAACTTCTGCTCAAAAGAAACCAACTCCACTTTAACAGTTTTTAAATTTAAAAATAATTTAAACAAATAGTTCTGATCTGGAGCTCATGCAAAGAATATACCCATGATTCTGATCATTCAAGTGTGTGAACCAAGATTTCTACTGCTGCTTAGTAGTAGTGTACTCCCAACTGTAAGAAAGATATGTAAAGGGAAAAAAAAGCCATCCGTAATGAATTATATACCTAAAGCCAAGTGTGACTACGAAGGCGCAATCCTATAAATTTTCCAATTGTTTACTGTGACACATACACATCAGGCTAGGAAAGTACAATGTCCTATTTCTTCTGTATTTCAAAGGACCTACATGAATACTTAAAAATTTTTTTGAGGGTACAAGGTTAGGTGAGGGGAAGGGAAATCTATAATATATGAAATTCACAGCAATGTCATAAAAATCACCTTCAACTTAATATTATTTAGTTAATACTTAATAATATTAGCATTTGACTAGTTTTCACTACTACATACTGTTATTTAAAAAGCTGAGATGAATTCTTCTGTGAACACATTTTTGGGTCTACTAATGGTTTGGTTGTACTGGTACTGTTTTACCGTAATAAATTAATTGTGACTTTGTTGGCCTTACTACCATGTGTAATAGGAATTTTATCCGAGAGTTCCAAACTCAGATGCAAGGAATAAGTTGTTCTTATTTATAAGGTAGTAAAACAGTTAGGATTTGCCTGAACTCTAAGCTAACGGTGGGAATACCTACGGTACAGAGCAAAGGGATTCAAGGATTAAGAGATTTTTAGAGGTAAACCCCTCCAAAAAGCATAGGAGGACCAGCTGTAAGCAAGTGAAGGAGTGTTAGCTGCACCTCTTTCTATTGCGTCTTATTTTGATGAATGGCACAACCCAACCTGGAGCCAAGCCCCAAACCTGGAACTATCTACAAGAGGTCCTCTTCCTGGAAACCTCTGTGGCCCCTCCTCAAGTCCACCTCCTCTTTTCCAACGCTACTCACTGCTACTGGTCAGCTAAACCACAAAATGAAACAGTGAAATCTGTGTGTGACTAAACTGTTAATCAGTATTAGCAATTTCAAACTACTCAACCCAAAACCATTTTAATTCAGATGCTCACTGTCTCTCATGGATATTTTTTGATGACTTTTAGATGCCTCTTTCCACTAAATTCTAGAGTCATCTTTCTAGATGAAAACCAAGTAAGGGCACACTGTTGGTTAAATCCCGTTAAAAGCCCCACAGTTCTCCCGAGAAGCAAGTCCACACTCTCACTTAGCATATCACTCATTTCAGTCTCAGTTCTCACCCTCTCTGGCCACTGTCCATATAAACTCCCATGGCACGCTCTAGCAACACTGCTGCATTTGTGGTCTCCTTCTAAATTATGCTGTTTCTTATCGTTGTGCTTTTGCACACGTCCTCTTCACCTGAAAAGGTCCTTCCCTACTTTCTCTTTTCTTCCTGAGAGATTCGCAGTTAACCTGTAAAAGATTATGCTTCTGTGACAACACTGGGCCAGCCAGGCAGCAGTGGTCATTCTTCCCTCTGTTCACACCTGAACAGAGTATGTGGCTTTAATTCTGTACTCCACTAGCTTTTTATATTTAGATCCTCATGAGACAATTTCTTAAAATAACATCCTATTTTAATATTTATACTGTAAGCAGCTAAATATTAACCGTTAAATTGAACAAATGGGCTGGACAGAAGAGCTGTGATGGAGTGGGATCATTGTGCCATCCTTTCTTGACACCTGCCATCTTACTGATGCACTCCTCAGTCCTGTGTTGGTGCCAGTGAGAATGTACAGGCTCTTAGGCTGAGCTGGGTGAGACAGGAAGTAAGAGTCTTTCCCCAGCACATCTCAAGATGCGGCATTTATCTGATGGGAACACTCTTGAGATGAGCCAGCTGGGACAGCTATGATGATGACGTCTATTATTTACACGAAACAGACCAAAACAGTTTAAGGGACAGTTTACTTTTTTCTTTTGACATCTTTTTATCTGTTCTATAAATAAATGTTAATTTGAATTCCAAAGTGACTTTCTTCTCAGATACAACCACTACTGCAGTTGAACAATAAGTATACAGCTGCAATAGGCTCATCTTAGAAAACAGTGTAGAATACTATGATCTAGAGTAAACAAACTGCTGAATTTCTGGACTGGAGTCCCACCACTGTGATCTTTAAAATCACTCCTCTGTTCATTCACCATGTTCAGACAGCTACAGGGCTGAAACCAGACATCATATACCACCTAGGTGTCATTTAATTTCTTACCATCAAGAGCTGGCATGGTTGGTACCTAGGACACAGAAGATGTTTGACACTGATGCTGGTATTAGTAGTGGTGATGAAAATAAAACAATGTCAAGAGCAACAGCAACCTCTATCTAATGAATGTTTCTTATGTCCCTGGGATCAGTTGGACCACTTGGTAGACATGACTTCACCGAATCCTCACAATACTTGCAGGTAGGTGCTAACTCAGTTTTTATGAATTAATATTCCTAGATGTGATAACTGAAATAATAGATATAAAATGTGAACCTATCTCTATTTTATTCTAATGATTTACCTCCCTGAAAAACTTTCATTTTTTTTGGAGACAGTTATCTTGCTATGCAGTACAGGGGGCCTTAAAGTTGCTAAGTAGCTCAATCTGGCCTCAAACTTGTGATCCTCTGGCCTCAGCCTCCTGTATGAGGCCACTGTACCTAACCAAAGCCTTCCTCTTTTTTTTTTGGCAGTACCGGGAACTGAACTCATGACCTCACACTTGCCAGGCAGGCACTGTGTCGCTGAGCTATATCCCTGGCCCCTGAAGCCTTCCTCTTAACTATGATGGAACAAAACTAAATTTAAAAATCTCCATGTTCACTTTTTCTGAGTTTTTGATTATTATATTTCTATAAAACACATAAAAATGAAAGCTCATGTTGTAGGTGCTACAATGCTGGCCATTGTGGTGTTGTATGATCAGTGTTTCCTCTGAAACTTACTTTTGATTTACTATGTCGGATGAGGGCAGACAGCAGTCTGTTTGACTCCCCCATCACACCGGCATGGTCTTTGGCTTCACACCACTCCACTAACCGTTCCACTAATTTAACATTCTTCCCCAGTTGTTCAGCAGCTTCTGCTGTAGGAAAAAAGGCAAACAAAAAGAAATACTAATATCCAGTCATCTGAAAAAAACTGTTACAGATGTTAAGAGTGTGAAAAAAATTTATGTCTGAAAAACACAACACAGTAATTTTATTAAAGCAAAAACTAAAAATACTCTTTACCTGATAAGACTATTTGGCTTTTTCTAGGAAGCTGAGAGCTGTCACATAAAATACAAAAATAAATGACTTTATGTTGGTATTCTGTTAGTAATATGGCAGACTGTAACGCCGGATTTTTAAACAGACTCCAAGCAATCAATACAGAGGAGTTTAGAATTTAGAAATAGTGAAATAAACGTATTTCATTCCTAGCATGATTTTCATTACTATTTCTAAAAAAACAATGCTCACCCTGTTTGTAAAACTCTAAAAATTTTGACTGCCACTTTACTGAAACATGATTTTGAAGACACAGTAAATACTGGGTATGGAAAATCAAAACACAGAAATAGTCGGGAATCAATAATAAACCAATTTAAAGCCATGGTTATCTGTATGAATACAGGCAGTAAAATTTCCACCTAACGCCAGCTATAAGCAAGAGAACTAATGAATAAGGTTCTAAAACCAACCCCTTTTAACTTGTATTTGCCATTTATTTTTATGATTAAATAATTCTGAATGCTAAAAACCAAGTCTTTTTTCACTCAGAGGCATATTAAGAATATCACACATTAATGCTACTTGGGAAAGCATTTCTTTTACCTTGTGCATCTATTAACATTCTTAGTGTTCCCAGAAGTTTGAACTGCACAGGAGGCATTTCAGATTTAAGAAACTTCAAAACCGTCTCTGTGACCCCAGCTGATAACATTTTTGCTTTATTTACAACTAGAAAGAGAGAGATTACACTTAAAATGGTGTCAGCATTCTTGGATGATAAATATTCAATTCAACATCCATTTATTTTCTATGTAGAAAAAATCCTGTTATTTATCTGTAAATTCTAAGAATGGGGTTGGGTGTATATATATTATTTTCTTATTTGTCTATAGGAGTGTAACATACAAAATCCTATTTTTTAACCTAATCTCAAAACAATTACGTAATTTGTCAAGAAAATCTGAAAATGCTGAATTACTTACAAAAAGCACATTCCTTAACTTTACTTTTTTTTGAGACAGGGTTTTGCTATGCAGTTCAGGCTGGCTTTCAATTCACTTTGTAGCCCAGGCTGGCCTTGAACTTGCAGCAATTCTCCTGCCTCAACCTCCTGAGTGCTGGAATTACAGGCACACGCCACCATGCCTGGCTTATTCCTCAACTTTAATAAATCTTTTTCCTTATAACTGTCCTTTACTCAACTGAACTAATGTGTTGCAGACATTAATAAACAATATTACTGTTATTATCTCCACTTACTAATAAGAAAAGTGTGAACAATTTGAAGACTACTTTTTTTCCTTCTCCTGGTTCAGGAAGGTCCAAGAATCACATAGAATCATTATCTTTCCCCACTGATAGATTTTATTTTCTACAGAGTTCCCTCCTATTTTTACATCTTACCTGGAATGGCTAGATTTCTGAGGGCACTCAGGGCTGCATGCTGTACAGTTACATTTCCATCTTCCACATGTCTGTCCAATAAATCCATGAGTTTTTCTACAATTCCACTGTCTACCATATGAATGCAATTTCCATCTGAGTAAAACAAAAAATAATTTTATTCCTCTTTAAAAATATCTAGGAACATTTTGTAGTACTATTACTGTACCTGTTCACAATCTACATAGGGGAAAATGGAGCTGTGTCAAAATAAAATGAATTCTAACTATTTTTTCCCCTCAGATTTATAGATTTTTCATTTCCTAAACCTCCAATTAAGAAGATTCTTAGACAAAATTTTGAAAATCAGAAAAATGACCAAAAAAATCCCTCATGTAGCGTGTGATTACAGCGTATATCAGAAGCAGAAACTACATGCTTAAAACGTCTGACAATAGTTTTCACTTACAGTAAAGTATGCTTATGTTCTACCAATATTAGTGACAGTCATTTAACTTTTGTTGTCATGGCTGATACTCATTTCTCAAAGCAGAGAATTACAACGAATCCTTATTTATCTCACATTTATATTCAGTAATTACCAACATTTTGCCAGTCTTACTAATTTTATTATTACAGAATTATTTCCAAAAACAAGGAGTAAAAAATGGGATGTTAGCCATTTTAATACACAGATTGAGCAATCCTAATCTAAAACTCCAACATCTGAAATGCTTTAAAGTACAAATTATGGCCGGATGTTGTGGTACACGCCTGTGATCCCAGCACTTGGGAGGCTGAAATAGGAGGTTCACTGTGAGTTCGAGGCCAGCCTGGACTACATAAGGGAGACCCTGTCTCAAAAAAACAGGATGCAAATTATAGGAGATGGTGACATAATACAACTAGAAAATTTCACAACTGATTTCATGTGTTTAATCAGCCTCAAAACACAGGTACAGCAAAGATATTGCCTAAAATTACTTTCAGGCCTACAAAGTGTACAGGAAATTATATAAGTAAATTTCATGTGTACACTTGGGTTCTGTCACAAGCTATGTCTTTTTTTTTTTCCTGGTACTGGGAATCAAACTCAGGACTTTGTGCTTGCTAAGCAGGCGCTTGTGCCACTGAGCTATATCCCCAGCCCCTCAAGCTATCTCTTGTGTATATGCAAATATTACAAAATCTGAAAAATATCCCAAATCTGAAAACACTTCTGGTCTCCAGCATTTTGTATGAAGGATACTTAACCTGTACTACACATCAGCCACTCAAAATGCAATAGAATTAAGCTAAAAAGAAAAATAACTCACATTTGCTATAGTATGGGTTTTTTTTTTTTTTTTTTTTTTTGGTTTTTCTCCGGTACCGGGAACCGAACTCACGACCTTGCACTTGCCAGGCAGGCGCTTTGCCGCTGAGCTAAATCCCCAGCCCCTAGTATGGGTTTTTAGAGTGAAAAGCAAGAGTGCCAGATTTCATAAATAAACAGAAGTCTGTGTCTCTGAAATGTTAGTAAACAAAATTAAATATTCTGCAGTAAATCCTCGATTATTCATACTTGAGTTTTATGGATATATGTGTATAACTCAGGGCACAACAACCCTATGATGAATACTCAGCTTATTCAAGCAAAAAGACAATCACCAGGCCAAAGAACATATCCCCCGTATCAGATACTGTATATATTAGAATGGCACTAGAATTTCCTAAGATCTGCAGTGCAAAATATTAAAAAAGAAATACTTTTTGATCACTATTCATGATCAATAGCTAGCTAGCTATCTATCTATCTATCTATCTATCATTTATTTCTGGGTACCGGGAATCAAACTCAGGATCTTGCACTTGCCAGGCAGATGCTGTGCCGCAGAGCTATATCCCCAGCTCTCATGATCTTTAAGCTACCAAAACTTAAAATAAGACAGTCACTATAAGTATTGTAGACTGCTGAAAAATCAAGAAAGAAGCACACACATTTCTGAACTGTTACTGTTTTAAGTACATGTGACAGGAAATAAAAAAATTTAAAAAGGAGAACATTTGATTTACAAAGGGAGAACAAATATCTTTACCGTTTCTGGCAAAATTTGCAATTGCCAACGCGCCAGCAAGCTGTAACTGGTGGTTATTTGATGGAATCCAAGAAAGGACTCTTTGGAACACACTGCCTTTCCCGCCTTCAAACAGTTTCTGCATGGATTCATCTGGAGGTAAATAAAACAAAGAGTTAAACATTAATTAGGAGTAACAAACCCATATTCGTAAATGAATATACAACAGGAGAACTACACACCTCACAAATTAAGTTCATTATGTGAAATTAATGATTTTTCTCATTTTTGTAAGCTGTTAGTGGAGATTACAGAGTTTAGAAGCTTTCCAGTACAAGTTTCAATACCCATCTAGCTTTGGTCCAATTGGTACTATAGCTCTTTCTTCTACATGTCAGTCATTCAAATACTGAAGGACAGCAAGGATTCACCACCTCCAGGTCTTTCCATAGTGTGCTTAGGGTTTCAATATCATCACATCAATCAGGAGAGGAAAATGAGAAAATGCGTACTCTAGTATCTACCCAAGAAACTCAAAACACACAATCTGACAATCATTTTCTTTGGCATAAATTACAACTCACCTCCAAGAAGTAATAAAACCATTAGATCTGAAGCAGTTTTGAGTTCGGCAATGTCATCCTCTTTGTCACTATCTACCTTCTGCTGAACTATCTCTAGTAGACACTCTACCAGGCCTGCTTCAACCAGCTGTAGTTTAATAGCATCTAAGAATGGTGAAAAAAACAACCAAAATTTTAGATGAAATATGAGGTCTGGTATAAACAATCCATTATGTAACTAGGAAAAGGCATGACTTAGACACATCACCTTTAAAGATTTAACTTTCAAAACAAAGTAGCAGTACAGCTTAAATATACAAAAATTTTATTTCATTTTTGTCATTTGAAATTTATCCTGACAAGTGTTACATTTCCTAAACAAATCAATTCTCAGCTCTGAAGGCAACTATTACATTCTGGAATTCTAGACTTCCTGCTAAACTCAAAGGTAATGCTAGATTACATATTATATATGCCTATAACACACACACTTCTCATCTAAACTTAAAATACATCTACTAATGTGTCTTGAATACTACTGAAATATAAAGAGCTGTTAGTAAATTTCAACCTACACTAAAAGTATATACAGCCTCATATTTGTATAGATCTTAATTTGTGCGTGCGCGTGCATGTGCATGTGTGTGTTTACTGAAGATCTAACCCAGGACCTTCACATTGACATACATACCCAGTCCTTTTTTATTTTGAGAAAGGTCTTGCTAAGCTAAGTTGCCCAGCATGGGCTGAACTTTTGATCTTTCTTGATCAGTTTCCTGGAGTGCTGGGATTACAGGCATGTGCTATCACACCTGGCTAAATGTTAATTTTTCTGGTATAGTTCATCTATACCCTTCTTGTCTTGGTTACTTTTCTCTTGTTGCTGGGACAAAATACCTGATGCCCAAAATTAAGGAAGGAAAGGTTTATTTCACTTACAGTTTGTGGAGGTTTC